ATTACAGATCAAGCCACTGGTAACAAAAATCAAATGTAACAAAAAGCACACATTGTCGAGAAGAACTTGGCCAACGGTCGTCGAGTTGCTGGAGTGGAGCTGGAAAGGAGATCGCCGCAGTGCAGAGAACCAGGAGCCGCAGAACTGAAGGCAAAAGAAAAAGGATCAAGTTAACAGGATATCGGACTTGCAGAATCGATTCACTTGACGTTCTGAAGACTTAACTGTTTAAATAAAATACGGGAATAAAGATATTTAAAAACACAAATTGAACAAATTGAAATCACCAATACATCTCAGTCCTACGTTTTCGTTACTTAGAAAATACGTTCAGCCACATTGAAATTCGATGCTACTTGTCAATACAAGACCAGGTAACACAGCGTGTATAATATTCAAATAAACTTTGCTTTGAAAACCATCGCTAAAATGTGTTGGTATTATCCATCTTTACCCAGTGAATTCAATAAATGAATAAAAGTATCATAAATAAGAACCAGTGCCTTAGCGTTTCTTTTTCTATTCAACAAAAACACAACAAAAACACAACAAAACAAAAATAAGTTCTATAGTTAGTATAAACCCGTTCTGAGGTTAAAATGTTGGAAATGCGCATTGTCTTTCATATACTATTTAAATAGGAGAGTGCAAACCAGGAATAGAACTTACCTTGGAAAAAACACTTTTTCATAACTGAAGCCACGTTTCTGATATATTTTGTCACCTGGAGATATAAAAAACAAACGAATTAGTAAATTAAACCTTTACAATATTTTATCATTTCGGAGTGGAAAGCGTTATTATAGCCCGAATCCGACAAGCGGAGATTTCACAGCTGCTGACTTTAGAAAGCAAATGTTTGAAGATTAAATAAAACCCTTTTTTCGTTAAAAGAAACACACATTGTCTTACAAAACATACTTACATGAAAGGTAGTATAAGAACGCTGAATGCAGACTTTTAAAACTTCGAGAGCACGCTCAAATGGACAGGACACTCATTTCGGCGTCCTAAAACACAAATTAAACAAAAACATATGCAATTAACAAATGATGCAAGGGCAATACATTTTATCAAGCCTTCCACAAAGTGAAATTTTAGTTTTTGTATTTAAAATAAGAAAATGCGACATTAAACGCAAACG